CCATCTCCTACCTACTAACCTCATCCCGCCCCCTTGACCTGTCCGTCCTCCCTGGACTGACCTATCTCCTCCCTACCTCCCCACCTACACTCACCTTTACTGGCTCCATCCCCGCCTCTTTGACCGGTCTGTCTCCTCTCCAACTATCTTCTCCTCTATCCATCTTCTATCCACCTCCCCCTCTCTCCCTATTTATTTCAGAACCCCCTTCCCCTGCCCCAATTCCGAAGAAGGGTCTCGGCCCGAAACGTCAGCCTTCCTGCTCCTCTGATGCTGCTTGGCCTGCTGTGTTCATCCAGCTCTACACCTTGTTATCTCAGGGTCACTGAATATTTTCTTAAGGCAGCAGTGGACAACTTGTTAAACAGGAAACTAGAAAGGTTACTGGCGGTAGATGGGAATGTGGACTTCAAAATACAAACATCAGTCATGATCTTAATGAATGGCAGAGCAAACTCGAGCGTCGAATGTCCTGCGTCTGCTCCTTGTTCGTATTCAGAATTTATATCTGTACTGAACCGCATATATCACCGTCACTCTGAATACCCTGAAATCCACAAATAGGGACTGAACTCACCTGATCAATGAAGTCTCGAGATAACTTATTTTTTTCCATTTCTAAGTTTTTAAAGTTTCTCGCAAGGTCGAAGAAGCTGCGGCTACCAGACCGAGTTCCAGAGTGAGTCCTGAACCAACTATACGGAGCCGCGGCAAAGTGCGTGCACTGATGAATGCCCGACCTCATCTTCTGTAACGTGCCGACCACTCGGTGCATTTTGATCAAAACACGGCCGTGAATCGCTGAGTTCACAACACACGCCAAACAAAAACTACGGGAAGATCGCTGCCTTCAAAACGCATACTGCAACAAAGTCAAAAGCTCGTGTCTTAACTCTCCCCTGATGAGAAAAAGTAATTGTCGAATAGCCTACAGTCAGACGTTATGCAGAAGTCAATCTCTCACAAACGGTCCCTTGCTGCCGCCAGCCCAACCGTCCTGACAGGAACAGGCGGTATCCAGGAGACACAACAAATCAATCACCCACCCGTCACTCACCAGCCAATCCCCACCGCCTTTCAAGTCGATTTCAACTCCATGTCGATCGCTTTGGTCTTTAGTTCCTTCTAACCGGAAGTAAAACAAATGCACGAGAGCCGGCCGTGACTGACTTTTTGTCTGCTCCACTTTTCATACATAGTGTGTTTTTTTCTTTTTTTTTCCTGTGTCTTTTGTCGGAGGGAAAGCTCTTCCTTTTTTTTAAAAGCAATACTTGTACGTTGTGAGTGTGAAACAATCATTCAGATGCATCCCCGTGAACATGTGTCCTGTGGATAACTCAAAGAGAATAGCAGTAGTTTAGGAAAGAGACTGAGACTTTGTTCGTTCTGCGAGTCTGGGAACCAGTTGATTGTCGTGGAGCGGATGGAACGCGGCCCCGGGAATCCGAAAGCGGCGCCCGGATCCGAAGCCGAAGCTGGCTGTGGCTGCTATGGAAACGGGAGGGCGCGTGAGCAACCGTCCAGTCTCCAGCTCAGCCCGGCGGAGCCCAGCCTGGCGAGATCCCGCTGGAAAATGCTGCAGCGGGTAAGGAGCGAGCCTGGGGAAGGTGGTGCAGCAGGAATTTAGCATTTTGGCATATGGTATAGATGGGGTGGGGTGGAGGGGGGTGGGACGGGCTGCGGTGTTTTTTTTAATATAGTGCAGTATACATTATCAATATGTGTTGTGTTGTAGATCACGAATCTATTGTACATTGGCCACGCTGCTGTGACATGGCACATAAGGTGTCAATACCAAGTATCTTCTTCAACTGAATTTGGATTAAAGTAAAGGGATTATCGTCCCTGCTTCAACATCATACATAGAATTGGATTAATATGCGGTGCAGAAGACCATTCGTTTCTGCCGTTATTTTATTCGAATTTTCTCCAGGTACTGTCGCCGCTTTGAAAACTCCTGGCACCACCCACTCTTCAGAAAGAAAACAAACAAGGTCAATCCTTTTGCCTAGCATATGATTATTTCAACTTGGCTTTCTTCAGTATATGAGAATAAATGAATACTCTGAAAGAAGAAATTCCTCATAATCTCAGACTTAAATTGGTGTCTGTTTATTTTGAGACTGTGCCTTCTAGTCCTAGATTGCCCCACGAGAGGATGTTTCTCCACGCCCCCCCCTCACCATTCTTCCAAACTCTCGTGAATAGAGTCCCAACCTGTTTAATCTTTGCTCATTTGACAAACCCTCCATACCAGGGATCATCCAATGAAATTATATCTTTCCTCAAACAAGGGGATCAAAACTGTTCACAGTACTCCAGATGTTACCCCACCAGCACCTTGTACAGTTGCAGTAAGACTTCCCTACTCTTATACTCCAAACTCCAATGAAATAAGGGCCGATATTCCATTAGCCTTCTGATATCCTGCTGCACCTGTGTGTTACCTTTGCATTTCATGTACAAGTACCCCCAAATCCCTTTGTGTTTCAGCTTTCTGCAGTTTTTCTCCATTTAAATAGTACTGTGCTCTTTTGTTCTCTCTTCCAAATGAACAACTTCACATTTTCCCACATTATACTTCATTTGCCAACTTTTTGTCCACTTTCTTAACATATCCTACTTTCAACTTGTCTTTCCGCCTATTTTTGTGTTATCTTTGGCTACAGTATTTGGCTGCAATATATTTACTTCCTTCAAGCCATTAATAAATAAATAGTTGCAGATGGGCACTGATTCCTGTGGAACCACACTGGTTACAGATGCCAATCTGATAAACAACCCCTGTTGTCAGTCTGCTTTTCTGACATCCAACCCTACCTCAGTTTTGTCCAGTTTAGTATTGAGAAGGTCAGAAACTTTGTCTGCAGTCCTTGTCACATCCTCTCTATCATTGCTGCAAAATCCATACCATACCCAACCACTGTATCTGGTTGAACAAGAATCTTCATAACCTTTGTGTTCTTTTTAACTCAGCTGAACTTCTAACACTAAATTCTTAGGCCATCTGCTGCTGAAACTATTGCCTATGCCATTGTTAGTTCCAATCACAACAATTCCAATAGTCACCTGGCTGGTCTTCTATCCTTGAACCTCCAGAAGATTGAACTTTTGGATTTACTGCTGCTTATTTCCTATCCTTCATTGACTTGCCTTTGCTGACATATTTTGGTTAATGGTTCCCACAGTCTCCAGTTTAACATTTTCATCATATATTTAGATGCATATTTGGCTTTGTATTCCTTTCAAAACTTTTTTCGGAGTAGAAGCATTATGAATTAAAGGGATGGCTGTAATTTAGTTATGTAATTAACTGGTATTGGAGTCAGTGAGCCATGGTGAAAAACTGTCTTTCTCATTGGATTGAAGTAGGCAGTGTGGTCATCTACAGGTCTGTATTGAGACCATTACTTTTCTTATAAACTATGACCTGGTCTTTAGTATAGGCAATAGAGTTTTGGGATTGAGGATTATAGGGAAAAAATGAACAGGATAATCAAACATTTCACAAGGTTACAATTGATTGATAGAATAGGTAGGTACTACAGGTGAAGTTTTAATGCACTTTAAATTAATGAATTTAATTAAATTTAATGCATTTTGTGAGAAACAAAATGGAGAGGCAGCATAACCTAAAGGTTCTATTTTGAAAGAGATACAAGAAATGGAGCATGCTCACAAATCTTTGAAGGTGGTACGTTAATTTGATAAGGGATACAAGATGATTTATGAGGTGCTTGACCCTGAATTGGCACATTAAATCCATAAACAAGGAAATCAAAATTTCTCATTAGATCTCAGTATCACGTGCAACTCTGGGCACTTAGGCAGTTCAGCAAAGTCTTGGAGATGTAATCAATGAGGATGCCAGGGATAAGAAACTTCAGTTACGTAGAGCACCTGAATAAACTAGTATTCTTCTCCCTAGAGTATTTCAGTGAGACTGAATAAAGGCTAAGATTTGTTCGAGGAAATGTGGGCATTGCTGGTTAGACTAGAATTGTTGCCCATCCTTTAGTGCTTTGAAGAATGTGGTGGTGACCTGCCTTCTTGAACCATTGCTGTCCTTGTGGCCTAGGTGCACCCATTGTGCATTTATGAAGCAAGTGGCAGGATTTTAACCCAGCCACAGTGACGGAATGGCAATATAGTTTCAAGTCAGGATGTTCTGTGACTTGCAGGGGACTTTGCAGGTGGTTGTGTTGGCATATATCTGCTGTATTCAAACTTCTTAGTGGTTGACATCAGGGTTTTGAAAGATGCTATTGCTGGAACATTGGAGAGATGCTGCCATGCACCTTTTTAGCTGGTCCACGCTGCTGTCACTATGTACAGATAGTGAAGGGAGTGAGTGGTATTATATCCACAAACAATCAAAAGGGCTGCTCTGGCCACTTAGTTCTGGATAGTATCAAGCTTTTTGAGTGTTATTGGAGTTGCACCCATTCAGACAAGTTGGGAGTATTTCATCACACCTCTGTCTTGTACTTTGAAGATAGTAGACACGTTTTTGGGAAGTGAGGAGGTGAGTTAATTGCTTTGGGTTTCTTAGTCTCTTACCTGGTCTTGTAGCCACATTATTAATATGGCTAGTCTAGTTCAGCTTCTAGTCAATGGTAAACACTAAGATGTGAAAGTGGGAGACACAGTGATGGTAACGCTTTTGTATGTCAAGGGGCGATCGCTGGATTCTCTCATTGGAGATGTTGATCACCTGGCACTAGTGTGACATGATTGTTGCTTGGCACCTGTCAGCCCAAGCCTGGATATTGTTCGGATCTTGTTGCATTTCAACATGGGTTACTTCAGTATATAGGAAGTTGTGTATGCTCTTCAACATTGTGCAATCATCTGTGAACATTCCCCCTTCTTACCTAATGAAAGAGAGGAGGAGGGAAGCTGATGAAGCAGCTGAAGGTGGTTGGGCTTTGGCATAATAGCTTGGGGAACTCTTGCACAGACGTCCTGGAGCTGATATGACTAACCTTCAATAACCACAACCACCTTGCTTTATGCTCTGTACGTCTCCAACCAGCTGGAGACTAATGACATTAAGTGATGGAGCAATAATGTGCGAATGTGGCAAGATCCTGAATGGCAGGGCAGGCTTGATGGGTTGAATAGTCTACTTCTGTTCCTTTGTTCCACTGGCATGTGGGTTAGTTAGCACAGGTAACAGGTTTGAATTAACTGGCAAAATAACTAGAAGAGGAATTTGGAGCTTTTTTACACTTTTTTATAATTTGGAAGGTATTACATGAAAATCTGATTCCATTGGAACCAGATGCCATAAGAATTTTTAAAGGAGCATCACTCATACACCAGATGAACTTACTTGCAAGGTAAAGGAGATAAAGATTTGGTACGGGACTAAATTGCTGAGCTGTCCAATGAGTTGGTAATAATTTCATAGAGTAATTGGCTTCCTGTGCTGGAAGAATTTAAGGGCGGAATTTACTGGCCTTTCCTTATGATACGGGCATTTAATTGGTGGGTGTGTTGTGGGTGGGGACCCAAATTGCTTTTGGCCTCCACCCTGATCAAGTCAATTATGGGATGGGCAATAAACAGCCTTCCTGCCCTGCCACCAAGTGAGCCTCTTCAGTGGACAATTAGATTGCACTAAAGGACCTCATCCTATCACAGCTGGTATTCACCCATTTGGGAGGCATGTCATGTATGAACCCTTGGGGTGCTTGCAGGCTTTGGAGTGGAAGTGGTGGGGATCCCTCATCCAAAGCTGCTTATTTCCAGATTAAGAATCCTGACATTGGAAAGGGAATGCTTGTGAGAGCCAGGGTGTGAAGGGCTGGGCATGTAGCATGGTGCTGAGAGTTCCTCCCCTGCATTTTCTAGTGATCCCCACCTCCTTCCTGACCATAACGTTGTGAATACTGATTAACATACAAACAAAGCAAAAAAGGACCACGAGTAGGTTATTTGGCCCTTGGAGTCTGTTCCACCATTCAATGTGACCATGGCTGATAATGCAACTCTGTACCCTCTTGCTGCTTTTTGTACAGTCCTTTTGAACTCTTTAGCCTTAAGAACGGTATCTAACACCTTGAAAATATTCACTTGGCCAAAACTGCTTGCTGCGGGACAGAATTTCATAGGCTTACCACTCCCTGGACAAAGATATTTCTCCTGTCGCAGTCCTGAATGGCTTACCTTGTAGCCTTAAACTGTGACCCCTGGTTCTAGACTCCCCGGTCATTGGGTACATCCTTCCTGATTTCACTCTGTCTAATCCTGTTAGAATTTTGTAGGTTTCAAGAGATCCTCACATCCCCCATTCTTCTAAATTCGTGAATATAGACTTAACCAATCTAGTCTCTCTTCATACATCAGTCCTGCCATCCCAGTAATTAGTCTTGTAATTAAATCTTGTTACCTTATCTAAGGAAGGATATTCATCATCATCATCATAGAATCCCTACAGTGTGGAAACAGGCCCTTCGGCCCAACAAGTCCACACTGACCCTTGGAATAATAGACTGTTGGACCCTTGGCTATGAAAGTATAGTCACAATATCCCTCCTTAGTAAGGGTGACCAAAATTGCACACAATACTTCAGGTGTGGTCTCTCCAAGGCCCTGTACAACTGGAGCAAGATATTCCCGCTCCAGCACTTGAATTCACTTCTGACGAAGGCCAGCGTACCATTTGCCTTCACTGCCTAAGGCATCTGTATGCTTACTTTCCGTGACTGGTTTTCAAGGACACCCAGGTTTCAATGCATCTTCCCCTTTCCCAAACTATCACCGTTCTGATAATTTTCTGCTTTCCTGTTTTTCCTACAAATGTGGATGACTTCACATTTATTCACATTTATCCACATTACACTTCATCTGTCATGCACTCAACTTGTCCAAATCACAATGCGTCTCAGCATCTTCCTCAACATTCACCCTCCTACCCAGTTTTGTGTAGTCTACAAACTTGAAAATATCACATCTGGATCATTAATATACATTGTGAATAGCTGGGGTCCACCACTGATCTTTGGTACCCCACCTGTCACTGGCTACCACTCATATTCTTTATTTCCTGTCTGCCAATCAGTTCTCTATCCATGTCAGCACACTATCCCCAGTCCCATGTGCTTTAATTTTACGTGCTAATCTCTTATGTGGGACCTTATCGAAAGCCTTCTGAAAGTCCGAGTATATCAAATCCACTGGCTGCTTCTTATCAACTGTTCTAGTTACATCCTCAAAAAATTTCAGTAGATTTGTCAAGCGTGATTTCCCTTTCACAAATATATCCTGACTCTGTCCACTGTTTTCCGAGTGTTCTGCTATTAAATCTTTCATAAATGATACTTCCCACAATCATTCACCTATGTTTGGGTCTGTTGGTGTTCCCCTTGAATGGGATTGGCGGAGACAACCTCATCCATTGACTGGCAGGCAGGTCTTTACCTCCTGGCATTCTAGATTCTGGCAAAGGCTCACAGCTGCTCACTTAAGAGCCTGTTGGCACTTAATTTGGTGGGCCTTCCTCAAAATGCAGAGCACTGGTGGGAAAGTGACTCATCAACTTCATTAAATACTGTCCTAGGATTTTAATCCTTTGAAAACTACGTTGCTCCAATTCTGACCAGATCAGTAGCCCATTTCTTTTCACTACCATTCATGGTTTGGTGTTGATTTTTAACTGATTATATTTCTGCCTGTGTTATAGGCTATATTCAAGACACCATGTAGATACAAGTTGTTGTGATTATCATTGAGATATGCTCATATTTACAATATCTACTGCCAATGTAAATTTACCTTACTCTGGTTTTGTTCTTTCATGCAATGGACTGGCCAGTATTTCTTCCCTACCAGTAACAGTCCTTGACCAGGTGGTGTCTTCTTGAGCTGCTGCAGTCCATTTCATTGTAAATGGATTCTCTGTACTATTAGGAAGGCAGTGATAATTTTATTGCCCAGTAACAATGAAAGATTGGCAGTGTTCTTTCAAATCAAGATGGCATGTGGCTTGAAAGGAGAACTTACTGTTGCTGGTGTTTCTATGTGTTTATGTCCTAGTGACATCTACCTCCTGGAAGGGCACATTTTGTAGGTGCTGTCAAAGGATATGAATGTAAAAGCAAATTCAGCATAGTCTTACCAGACCACAGGTGTTGCTCTCTCATTAGAGTGAGACAAATGGGAGTGGTTTAATCTGAGGGTGACCACACCTGAGGCACGAGAGAGGATGAGAAAGAGAATCTTTCATGGTAACCTCAGCCAGTGCGTACAGGAATTGATAATGGAATAAGTTGAAAGGACATAGCAGATGTTTGCTTTTTTGAGATACAATATTTACCGATATTAGTCTAGTATGTTGCCCACTTCCTGTATCCATTTAAATCATTGGATAGGAAGTAAGTTTTCATCTGGATTAATTTGAATTTCATTGCAGATACGTTGCCATCTTGTGTTAACATTTATTAAGCCAACAATTCTATTTTGCCTTTCACAGCTAATTTGTATAAAAATGTGGTCAGTACACCTGTTATGTTATTAAAAATTGATATAAAATGGTTAATTATAATTGAATTAGTAACTTTTTCAAAAATAATCATACTGCCATTTGTTTCTCAAAATTTGAAATTCTAGTGTCTAAACTAAGGTTTTAGTGTTGCTTTTTTTAAAGAGGATGCATTGTTTGCACATGAAATTATGTCATGTAACTGAAGGTCTAAACCTCTCCCAAAATTCTGGGTTCTAACTTGATATTTTTTTCTCAGAAATGACTGAGCTGAATTTAGATTGCTTGATTAAAGTCTGTATGATGTACTTAACTTCCCAGTATGCATCAGCATTCTTCAGCTTTGTGAAGCTGTCTGTGTAAGGACTGAGGTTTGAGTGCATACCAGTTGTGCCCTTCGGAAAGTGTATTGAACTCCTTGTGACTTTCCTTATTGTAATTGAGTTTACTTATTGAATTTTGAAGCAGGAAGTCTTTAATTATCATAAACAAAGAACAGCAGATTCTGAAACAAAAATTGCTGGAGAGAATCAGCAGGTCTGGCAGCATCTGTGATGAGAAAGCAGAGGCAATTGAAACAAAAACTCTTTTTCTCCCCATTGATGTTGCTGCACCTGCTGAGTTTTTCCAACAAATTCTGTTTTTATCTTTAATTAACACATACTTTGTGTTGATAGTTAGAATAGCTCAATTGTTACCTGTTTTATTAAGAATTAGAAAACAAAAAGAATCTCTTTGAGACAGAAATGCAATTAAAATTCACCCAGTTTTTTTAGTGCCAACTTACCAGTTTAATGGCTGAGATACCACAGTGTGGAGCTGGAAGAACACAGCAGGCCAGGCAGCATCAGAGGAGCAGGAAAGTTGACATTTCAGGTCGGAACCCTTCTTCAGAAATGGGGAGGGGAAAGGGAGCTCAGAAATAAATAGAGAGAGGAGTGATGGGGTTGGGGAAGGTAGGTGGGATGGTGATAGGTGAGTGTAGGTAGGCAGTGGTGGGGATTGGTCAGTGAGGTGGGAGAGAAGATGAACAGGTTGTGTCAGGTCAAGGAGGCGTGTTGAGAGGGAGGGTTGGTCATGGGATGAGGCCGGGGGTGGGGAGATTTTAAAACTGGTGAAATCCATGTTTAGGCCATCGGGTCGTAGGCTCCCGAGGCGGAATGTGAGGTGCTGCTTCTCCAGTTTGCGGGCAGCGTCATTGTGACACTGGAGGAGGCCCAGGATGGACATGTCACTCAGGGAGTGGGAGGTGGAGTTAAAATGGTTCATAGCCGGCAGGTGTTGAAGTGCTTTACTGGGTATTCTAAAGTAAAATTAGACACTTAACCATGTAAGGTGATATCGAACAGATAACCAAAAACTTGATCAGAGGTAGATTTTTTGAAAGAAGAAAGAGTGGTGAAGAACTTTCTGTTTGAAATTCCAGAGTTTAGGGCCTTGACAGTTGAAAGTATAGCCACATGTGGTTAATTGATTACAAGAGGGCTTCTCAGGAGGCTAGAATTAGATGAGAAGGGATATCCTGGAAGGCTGTGGGACTGGAAGAAATGACTAGGTTAGGGAGGGGAAAGGTCAAGAAGAGGTTTGGAAACAACATAAGCATTTTGAAATATGTCAAACAAGCACTTGTGTTAAGCAGATGGAGCTTGGTGTGAATAAGGACACAAGCAGCAGAAGGTTTGACTCCTTAGAGTTTACAAAGGGTAGAATACAGGAGGCCAGTCAGCAGTGTATTGGAATCATTGGCTGTAGAGGTAGCAACAGCAAGAATGAGGGTTTCCTTAGCAGATAACTGAGTGTGTGTTGTTGAGTGATATGACGGAAGCAAAGAAAGGCGATCATAGTAATTGTGCAGCTATGTTGTCAGCTTATCTTCGAGTCAAATGTGAAAAGGTTGAAGCAGTCTACTTTAGTCCCAGGCAGTTGCCAGTGAGAGCGATAACTGAGTATCATAAATATCACCGGAATGTTTATAAAACATATAACGTGAACATCCCGTTGCCAAGATAATTGGCTTGTGCCAGCGTTTTCATTTGAAATTACATATATGAATGTTTGTAATGGAAATTTCCTTTGTAAACAGCTGCCTATCATTACCTCTTGCTGTCATATTTCATATTTGCCACCCGGTTGCAACGCACTCCTTTAACGCTGGCACAATTTGTGTTTCCCTTTAAATTTTACTTCTAATGGTCTTATGACATGCCAGTGGTCCCAATTTGATTTCCAGGCTGTAATTAAGGCTCAATTTTAGCTTGCACTATCCAGTTTAAAATACGACTCCTCTGGGCCCTTTTTTCCCTCTAATCCTGGCTCTGTCTTGCCAGGTGCTCCAGCCCTACACATTAGCTTTATGGTACCCCTGCTTACTTCAGTTCTTGTAGGATGTTTACAGTTTTTTTTTCATCTCCAGCATCTGATCTACCATTTTTTCAGCCTGGTGGGCCAGTATCATTGTTGTTTCAAATTCTGTTCCTCTTTGTGCTGTTGGTTCTAAATATTGCGTAGTAAACCACAAACCCCCACCCCCAAACTTAATCTCATGGTCTTCGTTATAGTCAATTATATAGTCAAATTATAATTATAAATTATAGGCAAACCGTTGTGGCTGCTGTGTCAATTGAAATCATCAAGATTGAGACTGATTAGATTTTCATTGTTTCATATCCTTTGATTATACATAGACAAAGTCAAGAAACAGAGTTCTGGTAAAAGGTACACATCAGCCATGATCTGATTGAATAATGGAACAGGCTGAAAGGATTGAATGTTCTCCCTCTGCTCCTAAATCTCCAGACAAGAAATGTGGGGAATTGAGTGGGCACAATATGAGAGATGTGAAATCTTTTGAGAAGAAGGCTTTCTACTTGAAATTTACAAGTGTCTATGTGTTGTTGTGCAGTTAATAAAGATGTAAGGTGCACCCTTTGTGAACCATTGTTCAAACTATCACAAAAAAAATGTGATGGAACTAGTGGGAATGACAATGTCTTCTTCAACAGGTGCTGAAACAGAAGAGCATAGATCAAGAAAATCTGCTGCAGATTTCTACCAGAAGATGTTTGACTTTCAACATATTTTCTACAAATGTGTTGAAGAAACTGGAGTCAGATTCTGATAATGAAATGTGGGTTGAATATGCGTGCATTCCCTATCCACAGTATAGGGTGTATTTAAGGTAATCTATTGCATTAAGTATACTGTTCTTGTTTGTTCAATGTGTAGTATTAGGTTGCAAAAATGCTCAACTCAGTTTTTGTGAGCTTCTACCCCTCTTCCTTGCCTTTCCAATTTGAAATTTACGTTGTCTCTTTTGTCACTTCCTCACTGTCTGTTTGCACACTACATCTGGTTCTGCTGGTCACAATGAGAGATACAGATAGGACAGCAACTTACTCCTGAGCTCCTGTAACTTTTAACTGATTGCTGGAATCATCTATATTGGGAAAGCACTTTGCTGCTTCTGGCCAATCCAACCAGGATCAGGGAACCTGTTTTGTCAAGTGTAGAAATGAATTCTATGTCTTGTCGCATTATGGTTCATTGTACCTACCAGAAGCTTAAATTTACCTGACTTTCTAATCGCATTAGAAAGGTAACAAAAAAATCAGAACACAAAGACTGACTGCATTTTTAAAAAAAACAAGATGTTACAGCAAAATGTTTTTAAGTCCAAATAATTACTGCAGTCCTAACCTGACATCTTTGTGAAATCTGTGGAGTCAAAGTTAGTAAATTGCCAGGGTATATAATCTCACCTTGGTTTATTCCATTTGATGCCATTAAGGTATTCATTTTAACTTCATGTATCAAACCTATATCAATTTACCAACCAATTTTTATCTCCTATATGTCTGAGAATTCTGACACTGTTTCTTTAAGTTGTATAATCAATCCATTTTCTGAAGAAGGGTCTAGGCCTGAAACATCAGCCTTCCTGCTCCTCTGATGCTGCTTGGCCTGCTGTGTTCATCCAGCTCTACACCTTGTTATCTGCAGTGTAAATGTCTTCTTTTACAGGACTAAATTTTTACAATGGAATTGGTTCACCCAATAAATGACTTCCAAAGGCGTTCCATTATTGTTTGAATTTTTGGCGCAACAATGCCAAAAATGTTTGATAGATGTAGTTGACAATGTACCAATCCACACTGTTGCTCCACATTTTATTCTTGCATCTTTAGTTGCTCCCCTTATTCGGAGATGAGCATTAATAAGAATTGAAAAGCTAATTGTGGGGGCAATAAGGCTGAGCCCAGACTTGTCCTGGCCAACCATCTGCATCAATTTCTTTGTTAGATTTAGATGGGGATAGATATCCAGAGTTTCCCAATTGTTATCCAGAGACTCTGCTGAGATTATTCACAATGGTAAAATATCGAAGCTTATTAGAAATGTACTTAGATTTTTTTTGTAATATGCTTGATGGAGTTTGTATAATAATTGATAAATATATATTGGGACTTGTTTTTCTTTAAAAAAATCTTTTATCATGGGAAGATTTTGTACTTAACAATCATTTACTTTGTTAAGACACAGTGTTGGCCCTCTGAATGTTGAAGATGTTCTCACCAGTTTTGACAACACAGGAAATGTCTGTGAGTTTATTTCATTTTATGTTCAACTGTGATGTGATGTTGAGGGAAATACACGTAGCGTCATTCTTAAAGAAGCACTGTGCACATCATCGAAGGAGCAATACCTATCTGTCATTTCATAGCAATGGTGTTTCCACAGAAAATGTCATAAGCAATGCAGATTGTATTTGTTATATTGCATGTTAGGTAAATTAAAACATTGCCAAAGACACTGACAAAGCAGTGCCTCTTTAACAATGTATTCAGTTCCAGCATTAATATGTTAATATGTTCAGATCTGTTCCCTCACCAGTGCATTGTTTCACACATTGGTTATAAAATTATTTAAGGAAGATTGCTTTGTAGCTTTCAAGTTCATAATTATGCAGCACATTTATTTTACTTTTCTTTCTGCCTAATTCTTATATATGATTATAATTTTTGTGATTATCTGTGTATGTGTAATTTTTGCTCAGTGTAGATTTAAAAATAGTCGCCAAGTGCATTAATTTTTTTTAATTTGAGGATGATGGATAAGACATCTGGTTATGCTGTTTAACCGAAATGATGTTTACACATTAATTGATTTTTAGAATTTGTAATTTAGTTTTTAGGAGTAACAATATATTAATCAAGTCTGAGTATGTCAAAGGCTCTAAAATATGTCTGAATTAAATGTTTTACAGGATGTTTGTTACCTTTTTGAACAAAGTGAACTACTTGTTTTGAATATTTGGTAAAGCTAGTCCAATTGTTCAGGTGATTGGGCTCTGAGTGTGGCTGCCAGAAAGGGAGTAGTCCACATTAATTTGTTGAAAGTCTGCTTTTAGTTGCCTGTAAAATGCATTTACACTAATAGCAGCCCCGTTGCTCAGTTACTGACTATGAACAGCAACACCAATGTGGTCACAAGTTGAACATATATAGTACTGAATTACAAATGATTCACTGAATGGGAAGTAGAATATTTCACAGCAATACTGCAGTTAGTGCTTTTGCTTACATCTGAACTTGTCATTATGGTCTACAGTGTTTGATAGTAACTCCACAGGGGCAGCGAGCGAGAGCAGGAGAGCAAAGAAATGACAGGGGCTGCTGGTGGGAGGATTGGAAAACAAACGGTGACCCTGAGAGTAGCTGTGATCAAGTCGCAGCAATGACAGATGCTGACATAACTTTGGTGTCCAGAAACTGACAAGAATGAACTTTGACTGTGAAATCTATCCAATTAATCATGTCAGGCTTGAATGTCAGGGGTGGAGTCTACCAGTTCTTTGCTTCTGAGTTAGAGTACCAGTAAACATCAGCGCATGGCGTGATTGTAATAATTAAGTGTGCAACATTGATGAATTGCCGTGTGAACACACAGTTTAGAAGGACCATTATGTCTGTCTTCACAAAAGAGGTGGAGTGATGCAGACATTGAGGTAAAGGAGGAGGGATGTGAAATATTGGATTTGGTATATAGACCAAGAGAAGAAATATTAAAGAGTTTGAAAATGGAATAACTGTCAGACACACGTGAAATGGATCTCTTGCTGTTCAGAGAAACAAAGGAGGAAATGGCAGACGTCTTGATGATCATATTCTAGTCCTCTCTGGCTTTAAGTGTGTTACTGAGGACTGCTAAAATTGTAATGTTGTTTAAAAAGGGTGGAAAGGATAGACTGTGCTAATGCAGGCTAATCAGCTTAACTTTGGTGGAAAATTATTTTAAAAATTCTGAGGAATAGTATTAAACATCTAGAAAAGCAACTATTAATCAGAGGAAGTCAGTTTTGATTTGTTCACGGATTGAATGACTTGTTATTTGTGGAGATAACAAGTAGGACTGATAAGAATGTAGCCAAAATTCATGTAGACTACAGCAAATGTACAAAGGTCTTGGTAAGGCCCAAGTGATAGGTTTTTACTTTTCTGATCAGCCTATGTGTCTAAGGCAAAGGGGAAAAATTTGGTACCAAATTGGGTCCCTGGCAGGAAGCAAAAATTCATAATACATATTAATAATTTACACTTGTGTATAGGAGGCATAGTGAAAGAATTTTTGCAAATGATTCAAAGATTGATTGTCCAGTTGATATTGAGTTAAGAATGCTTTATTTTGACAGAGGATATCGTTGGATTAGTCAGGTGAGTCAATAAGTGGAAAATGCAGTTCAGTTCAGTTCAGAGATGTGTGATTGGTGATGATGATAAGACCAATCCTGTCATACGTACAAAGGCCTCCTTCAGGGTCTGGTGCCAGAATTGGAAGTACAGTCAAGCAACAACCTGATATAATCATAGTCTTAGAATCATACCTTACAAACAACACACAAGACGCTACCAGTAGGACAGACCCACTAGAGGTGGCAGTTCTGTGATGCACAGTTGGAAGTGAGTTGCTTTGGGACTCTTCAACATTGACTCTGGACTCCATAAAGTCTCATGCCATCCAGTGTAACATAGGCAAGGAAACCTCCTGATTACCATCTACTGCACCCACCCGCATCCGCCCACCCCATCACTGTACTCATTCATGTTGAACACTGAGAAACACTGAGTGTTGAGAGGGTGCACATTGTAGTCAGGGTGGAACCTTCAAAATGAATACCAAAAGTGAGTCGGTAGCACTACTACAGGCCAAATCCTAAAGGAAGTAGTTGCTTCACTGGGTCTGTGGTGGTGGCAAGGAAACAAACAAGAGGGAGAAACCTACTTGATTTTATCCTTACCAATTTACCTGTAGCAGATGCATTTATGCATGGTAGGAGCACAGTCCTTGTGGAAATCAAGTCATGTGTTCACACTGAGGATCCCTTCATCGTGCTGTGTGACATTACCACTGAGAAAAATGGGATAGATTTTGAACAGATCTAGCAACACAAAAGGGCATCTGTGAAGTGATCCAGAACAATGGCAGAATTGCACACAACCACTATCTGTAACCTTATGGTCCTTGAGGTATATCCCCTGCTTTACTATACTGTCAGCCAGGGGACCAACCTTGGTTCAACGAAAAGTGCGTGAGGACATGCAAGGAGCAACACCAGGCATACCTATAAAAAAGGAAGTATCAACCTAGTGAAGCTACAACACAGGACTACTTAAATACCATACAGTGGAAGCAGTATGCAATAAACAGGTCTAAACGATACCACGTTCAACAGAGAAGTCCGACCATATTGACTCATGAATGGTGGTGGGCAATGGAGCAGTGGAGGAAGCCCCACAAATATTTTTATTCTAATACACAAAAAGCAAAAGAAAAGACTGAAGCATTTGTATTCATCTTTTGCCAGAAGTGTATGATTCACCTTCGCCTCCTCCTGAGATTACGAGCATAACAAATGTAGGGCTTCATCCAATGAGTTTACTCCCTGTGATATCAAGAAATGGCTGAAGTTGCTGGACGTTGCTAAAGCTATGGGCCCTGATAACATTCCTGCAATAATGCTGAGGATTTGGACTTCAGAACAAGTTATGGCCAGAGCCAAGCTGTTCTAGTACAGCCATGTGGATAATTGCCCAGGTATTCCTGTACACAAAAAGCGGGACAAATACATCCTGGCCAATTAACATCACATCAGTTTACTCTTCATCATCAGTAAAATGATGACCAACAATTCTATAAAATAGTAATTGTTCAGCAATAACCAGCTCACTAACACTTAGTTTGGGTTTCATTAAGGCCATTAACCTCTTGATCTCAGTACAACCTTGGTCCAAATGTGGATAAAAGAGCTGAACACCAGAGGTAAAGTGAGAGTAAATGATATCAGGGCAGATTTGGCATGGTAAGTAATACTGCAATACTGGAGTCAGTGAGAATCAAGAGGACAACCTGCCATGGGTAAGAGTTGTACCTAGCATAAACAAAGATAATTGTGCTCAATAATCTATCCTAGAACATCATTGCAGGAGTCTGTCAGGGTGGGACTGAAGACCTACTCACCTTCAGCTGCTTCATCAATGACCTTCATCTCTATAATAAAGTCAGAACTGGGATGTTTGCTGATGATTGATTGTACTATGTTCAGCACCATTTGGAACTCAGATACTAAAGCATCTTGTGTCCACAGGTAGCAAGACCTGGACATCATACAGGCTTGGACTAATACGTGGCAAGTTACATTTGTGTCACACAAGTGCCAGGCAATGACCATCTCCAATAGCACAGAATCTAAATATTTCCCCTTTACCATCAATGGCATGATCATCACTTGGTTTACCATTGACCAGAAACTGAACTGAACCAGACTTGTGGCTGCAGAGCCAGGTTAGAGGATCAGATTGTTTATTGAATAACTCAACTTTTCTAATCTCAAAGCCTATCCACAATCTACAAGGCACAAGTCAGGAGTGTGGTGGAATGCTGTTTACTTGATTGGATGGGTGCAGCCCCAACACCCAAAGTCAACATCATCTAGGACAAAGCAGCATGTTTGATTGGCATCCCATCCACCATCTCCACCATTCACTCACTTCACTACTGACAGACAGGGACAGTGGTGTGTATCCTCTACATGTGCACGTGCAATACATGCTGGCACAGCCAGTGAAGATCACATATCATGAATGAGCTTTTAAAAAAAATTAGCTGTGCATAGTAAATGTTGCCCGTGCTGGCAAAGCTCACATCCCAAGACTGAATATAAAATCAGTTTGGGACTCTTCTTTATTAGACAGGGCATAGAATATTGGAGAAGAGAGGTCAGAATGGAACTGTATCAAATATTACATAGACCACAGGTAGAGTATTGCATACAGTTTTTGCAGCCATTTTACAGGAACTATTTGGTTGCAGTAGAGAGGGTACAGATGATATTTATGAACTTATTGACAGTAACGGAAAATTCTTAACTTCGTGAAAAGATCGAATAAGCTAGAGAGATAGTAGGAACTGCTATCTTGTGAACTTGTGGACTTCACAAGCTTCAAAATCTCCCCTCCCCTGACCGCATCCCAAAACCAGCCCAGCTCGTCCCTGCCTTCCTAACCATTCCTCCCACCTCAAGCCCCACCCCCATCTCCTACCC